TGCGGTACAAACAACACTTGCTAATAATAAGCATGGCGACGGTACAGCTGTAGGCGGCAAACTTTTGATTAGCGGCAGCGAGGATGGGAGAGCCGGTGAGAATCCCCCCGGTAACGGCTCTCTCGTCTCTTGGAGGGCAAAGGAGTGGGCTGGCGATGAAAGCTGGAGCTCTGGGGCTTTGTATTGATGAAGAGGGATGCGAAGCATGAATAAGCATGTGCCGAGTTCCTCACAGGCCTTTGGGGGGTGGGTGACACTTTTCCCAAGAGCCTCTGCTCCATAAGTGTCCCAACTTTTGCTGGTTTACAATATGAATGTCTTTGTCAATTAAGGTCTTATCTGGCTGGTTCTACCAGGACTGACATCAGGGGTTGGCACTGTAGGGCACCTGCCAAGATTTGCACCTCAGCAGGGGCCCACTGTCAATCTCGGAAGCCCCTCCTTCCAGCTGCTTCTCCTCTTCGCCATTGCTATCTGCTTGAACAAAGTCGGGAGTGAAAGAGCAGCCACCACCACCCATCACCTCATCCTCTGGACAGCAGGGGAGGTTCAGATTGGGATGGAGTAGTGGCAGAATATCTGCTTGGTTTGCAGAGGGTCCCTAGTGTCTCGAGTTAAAAGGGCCATGTTTCCCTGACCTGGATAGCCCGGGCAAGCCCAATCTCGTCAGATCTTGGAAGCTAAGAGCCAGTTTGGTGTAGTGGGTTGAGTGTGCAGACTCTAATCTGGGAGAACCAGGTTTGATTCCCCACGCCTCCACTTGCAGCTGCTGGATGACCTTCGGCAATCCATAGTTCTGTCAGAGCTGTTCTGAAAGAGCAGTTCTCAAAAGAGCTCTCTCAGCCCCTCCTACCTCACAGGGTGTCTGTGGTGGGGAGGAGAAGGGAAAGGAGTCTGTAAGCCACTCTGAGACTCCAAGTGAAGGGTGGGGTATAAATCCAATCTCTTCTCTTCTTCTTCTTCTAAACAGGGCTGGCCCTGGCTAGTATTTGGACAGGAGACCTACAAGGAGTAACAAGGTTGTGACGCTCAGGCAATGCCAAGCCACCTCTGAATGTCCCTTTGCCTTCAAGCCCCACTAGAGGTCACCAGAAGTCAGCTTGACTTGATGGCCCCCCCCAAAAAAAATAGCCAAAAGAGGGCCAGGTTGTAGGGGGGTGAAAGACCTCTACCTGAGATCCTGGAGAGTGGCTACCAGTCAGAGTAAACACTAGTGACCTAGTCAGACCAAGGGACCTAGTCAGACCAAGGCAACTTCACATGTTCCTAAAGGGGCAGGGCCATGGCTCAGTGGTAGAGCATCTGCTTTCCCGGAGTCCGTCCTCAAATGTCAGGTTGCATCAGGTAGGAGGTGACATAGAAGGCCTCTGCCTGAGACCCTGGAGAGCTGCTGCCACTGAGAATAGACAATGCTGACCTTGATGGACCGAGGGTCTCACTCGGTAGAAGGGCAGCTGCATGGAAGCCCAGAGTGAAAAGGCAGTGGCAAGTTTGGTTTCCACCTGGATGGGGGGGGGGGGATCCCCTGGCCCCGTCACAGAGGTTTTATGTACGGAGATAAGCAGTTGAAGCTTTTCATGGCATTAAGTCAAATAACATCACCCAATAAATTGCATGGAGATCAAAGTGACAAGAGAGGTGCCGCTTCGAGGGACCTCAGAGGGGGTATCATGCCACAGGCTCCACCTTCCAAAGGGGTGAACCGATCTGTCACCTGAAGAGTAGGGGCAATCCCAGGAGATCTCCAGGTACTACCAGGGGTTTGGCAACCCTAGGTCCCGCGAGTCGAAAAGTTGGCCACCCTAGTGGCAAGGAGTGCCTGAGAAGGCATTGCTGGGAATCACAAGATGCGCATGGACAGAAAAGGGGGGGCAGTGGTGAGGTGAGAGAATGGGGGGAAAGTTCCCCTCTCGGGTCTTGCACCATCAGAGCTCTTGCAGTGCCGTGCATCCGTTGTCGGACTTTCCTTTGGTACAAGAGAGAGGGGGTGGTTTTTACCTGGTTCTTTCACACTGCAGCTACCTATTTCCAGCAAGATCTTTTTTTCTTTTTCTTTTTTGGTCAATGGGATCATGCAGTCTCCGGCAATGGTTTTTGGGCTGCCCCAGAGGGTTATTGTGGGAAAGAGAAGGAGGGGAAACACTGCTCACCAGGAGCACCTTCTGCTTGCACAACCATGGGATCCATCCCAATGGTGTTTAAACTCATGTACAACTAGAAGAAGTTGTTAATCCCCTCCATGGCATGCAAATGGAAGCATAAACAGGCTCGGCACAGTTCTGCTTCTGCAAGAGCTTGTGCAACTCCCAGCACTTTCCTCCCTATCTATTTTAGTGCCCAGAAATCGGTTACACAAGATCTTGTGCGAGTGGAAATACAAGAGGGGATGTGATAATTTTGACTTAGTGGAAGAGACCCCCAGTGCATTTCCTCTTGTGCTCCTCTTGCGTCTCCAATACTTTGTGCTGGAAAAACAATAAAAACAACCACCACAAAAATGCTTTAGCACCTTAAAAGCCAATGCATCTTTCCCAGTGGTATGTCACTTTAGCCCCAACAGGTAGATATAGTCATTACTCTTCTGAGAATTATTAGGGCTGGAAAAAGCACCCTGTTTGGGTACTGTGTTTGGAAGCAAATCTGCAAAACAGAAAAAAATTCTTCTGCTTTAGTTCTTTTTTTCTTAATGAAGTCCCTCACCCAAGTACTGGTGGCATATGCTAAATTTTCTGCTAATTAGCAATGGGGATGAAAAATGAATCATTTGCTGCCTGGGGGAGCATTATGGGCCTTGGAAGTTTTCCGTTGGCTTCGCAATGAGATGCTTCAAAGGTGGAAAAGACAGAAGCCTTTAATTATAAAGCACTCAGTCGAAACCCATCCAGATGTTTAAATGTCATTTCCAAAGTTGTGAAAATGGTATCTTTGGGCATTCTTTGAAGCCATCCATCTTAATGAAGAGACTCCTGTACTCTGCAGATAAAAGCCAAATTATTGGTCTATCCGGCATGCTACTCCAGGGGCAGTGGTTCTCCAAGGTCCTTCCCAGGGTTACCTTCTGAACATATTTTCTGGGGATTGCTGCATCCAAACACCCCATGTTACCAGAAGTAACCTTTTGCTTCTTATTCTGTTTACCTTGTTTGTTGTCAAAACCCAGGGCTTTTTTTTTGTAGCAGGAACTCTTTTTCATGTGTGGCCTATTATGCTAATGAGTTCCTACTGGGTGTGGCCAACTCGGGAGCCAGCCGGAACTCCGTTCCTGTGCGTTCCTGCCCCAAAATATCCCTGTTTGTGCACACACACACACACACACACAGCTCATTTGTGAGGAGAAATCTTATAGACCACTCTAACATGGAACCAATGACATTTCTAAAAACCCATTAATGAAAACAGAGTGAGCTCTGAGTTCTTTTCAGGTTATGATTGCTTGGGGGGCAAATATCTGCAGAAAGTCTCGATTTCAGTCAATCAAAACAATCACATTAGCACCATTTTTTGCTAGATTGATTTAAACACTGTATATATTAAAGGCACTGAGTTACAAGGGAGAAAGGGGGAAAAAACTCTATGGAAATGAAAAGAAGACTGTTTTTCCTCGAGTGGTTGGAAAGATATTGTTTCATGCTTCCCCCCCTTAAAGTTCAAGGTTTCTCTTTTCAGGGCAAACTTCCTTTGTGGAAGAGAACACCAGAACCTTGTTATTTTTCTTGTAGCCTATTAAGGTCCAAAAATACAGCGAAAGCAGACTTTGCAAAGATGCAATAACAAAAGAAGCAAGCATGCAGGCAGGCTCTGGATCAAGGGCCCAGCAATCAAACATAGAAAATACACATTAAAATGTATTTCTAAATCAGGCCATATTATCTAACTGACCAGTGGCCCCGTTCTTTTAAAAACACGAGCTGCTTATCATCAGAGTTCCTGTTTTGGGTAAGGAAGACAGGAGAGATTTAGTCCATTCTACGAGTTTTGAAAATAGTGCCTCCAAGGTAGGGTTGCCAGCTCTGGGTTGGAAAATACCTGGAGATTTGGGGGGTGGAGCCTGGAGAAGGTGGGTTTGGGGAGGGGAGGGACCTCTGCAGGATATAATGCCATGCAGTCTGCCCTGCAAAGCAGGGGATCTGATCTTGGTCATCTGGAGAACAATCGTCATAGTGGGAGCATTCCAGGTGGCACCTGGAGATTGGCAACCCCACTCCATGGATACTCATAAGAACGTAAGAGATGCCACTGTTGGATCAGGCCAGTGGCCCATCCAGTCCAACACTCTGTGTCACACAGTGGCCAGAAATACCCGGGGCCCTCAGCATGCCCCTAGAATGGAACTGAATGTAAGATCTTTCACGTTAACGTTGGTTAGTTTAAATGAACTTTGCCTCTCTCCTTCTCATAGGTCCAGTCCCCGTGTTCACCCTTAAGCATTTGTTTTGAAGCTCTCCCTCCAAGAACACACAAATCGAATAATTAAGCACTGTCAAGTCACAGCCAAAGTATGGCAACCCCTCGAGGGGGGGGGGTTTCAAAGCGAGAGATGAGCAGAGGTGGTTTTGCCATGGCCTGCCTCTGCATGGCAACCCCGGTCTTCCTTGGTGGTCTCCCACCCAAGCACTGACTGTGGGCAGCCCGGCTTAGCTTCCGAACTCTGGCAAGACTGGGCTAGTCAGGGCTAGTCAGGCTGCTCACAAATCCAGGTGGAACTTCATCTAAATGTAAGATCTTTCTGAAACCAAGTAAGATCTGAATCTGAGTGCTTGCTCTCTCTCTTTCCAGTCACACAGTCATTTCTTTCCCATTGCAGGAGCATTCAAGAAGGCGTCAACCCCCACCCCTCAAAGGGTTACAAAAGCTTCACATTCACAACGATGAGGCCTTGATGTGTCACGGACCTTCTCTGAGGCCGCTTGCTCTTCTGCTGAAGTGAATGCTGTCAAGCCTCATCACTGGACCTAGCTGATCTCGTCTGCTGGCATTTGTTTCAGTTCCCTGACGTTACGATGAGTGGCATCCTGTCGTACTTGGATCCTCGGCGGATCCAGTGGGCCGCCACGTGGTATGCCGTGCATTCTAGAATCCTCCGCACGAAACCTGTGGAATCCATGTTGGAAGGGACGGGCACCACCACATCTCATGGGACCAAACTGGCCCAGGTACTCACGACTGTGGATCTGGTTTCACTGGGTGTTGGAAGCTGTGTCGGCACAGGAATGTATGTGGTCTCGGGCTTGGTTGCCAAGGAGATGGCGGGCCCTGGTGTCATTGTTTCCTTCATCATTGCAGCTGTGGCCTCCATTCTGTCTGGTGAGTCTTCTCCAAAGTATATTCCTGTATTTACCGTTTATTACTTGTAAAAGAAATGATAACCGATTCCATGTATCGTCTGAGGCGCTGGCTGGGTTTCTGTTTCATGAACACCTGCTCTTACGCCTCATCTTGTTAGTCCTAGGGTTGCCAACCTCCAGGTTGGGCAGGGTGACCGCCTGGAATTACAACTGATCTCCTGGAGAAAATGACTACTCTGGAGGTTGGGCTCTATGGCTTTATTTATTTATTTATTTATTATACCCCAGTGAGGTCCCTAACCCTCTCTTGGAAATTTTTCCCGCCATCTTGGATAATATACTGATATGTTGTGGATGCTTTTAAGTATTTTAAGGCTGGTGTAGTGGTTAAGTGTGTGGACTCTAATCTGAGAGAACTGGGTTTGGTTCCCCACGACGCCACTTGCAGCTGCTGGATGACCTTGGGCAAGCCATAGTTCTGACAAGAACTGTCCTTGAAAGGGCAGCTCTTGAAAGAGCTCTCTCAGCCCCACCTACCTCACAGGGTGTCTGTTGTGGGGAGGGGAAGGGAAAGGAGTTTGTAAGCCGCTCTGAGACTCCGAGTGAAGGGCGGGGTAATAAATCCAGTCTCCTTCTTCTCCTCCTATGATGATGATGATGATGATGATGATGATGATGATGATGATGATGATGATGATGATGATGATATAAGCCTCCCTGAGCCTCCCTAATAATAATTCCTTTCTCCCCTCACTCCACCCCCAAATCTCTAGGAATCTCCCAACCCAAAGGTAGCAACCCTTTTTTGCCACCAAGTCTCAGCCAACTTATGGTGATCCCACAGAGTTTACAAGGCAAGAGACGTCCAGGGTGGTTTGCCATTGCCCGCGTCTCCATATTCCTTGGTGGTCTCCCATACAAATAATGACCAGGGCCGACCCTGTTTAGCTTCCAAACTTCCAAATGTGGTCAGGCTAGCCTGGGCTACTCAGGTCGGGATATCTCGTTAGTCCCTGTTGTTCAGGCTTGAAACAGCTGCTTTGTAAGCTCTGGGGGAAAGGATGTTTGTAGGATGCGCAGGTCTATCCAGAGCGGTTAGCCATCCTGATAATGGCAGTGGAGTGGAGTGGTTCGAGGGCTAGACTAGAAGTGGGGTGCTTTGAGCCTGAATCCCCACTCAGCCATGAAGTTCACTGGGTGACCTTGGGCCAGCCTTTCTCTGTCAGCCTGATCTACTTCACAGGGTTGTGGTGAGGATGAAACAAAGGACCGGAGAGTCATACATCCTTCTTGCAGGAATGATGGGATGAAAATGGAATAGATAGCTAAATCTGTGGCTCAGAAGAAAAGCCTCGGCTTTGCTTGCAGAAGGTCCCAGGTTCAGTCCCTGGCATCTCCAGTTAAGAGGACCAGGTTGTAGTTGATGTGAAAGATTTCAGCCTGGGACCTTGGAGAGCAGCTGCCAGGCTGAGCAAACAATACTGACCTTGATGGACTAAGGGCCTGATTCGGTATAAGGCAGCTTCACGTGTGTTCCTGTGTAAATGTCCATGTCCAGGGACAAGACCCTTCTGGAAGCCAGATGCCAGTGACATGCCACAGAGGAGAACTGTTGTTGCCTTCATGCGCTGCTAGTAAAGCAAGGTCAGCTTTTGAGGGCGGGGCTGAGAAAGATGCCTCCAGTGTTCCGCTTCGCTGAGCACGCATGGGCACCCTCTTCCTGGAACAGAACATCTTTCCCACCCCTTTAGCCCTTGCCAACGCTGGCACACAGGAGAGCAATAGAGTTGTACTCTTGGTGCATCTTCCATCGTTTGCCCTAGAGGCTCCTGTGGCATTGGTGGGCTCTCTGGGCTGGTGTGCCATTGGTGGCTGGAATAGATGGATCAGGCAATTTGCTCAGTGGCGAGTCGTCTTCCAGACCTCAGCTGATGTTGACCTCAGACCTCCGCTGATGTGCCATGCAACCCTGCTTGCCTGATCCCCCAAAGCATCTGACCACTGTTGGAAGCAGAATGCTGGACCAGATGGACCTTCGGCCCTGGCTGACAGGGCTCTTGGACACATTCATCCCGGCTCCAGACTTGGCCAGAGTTCCTGCCAGCTTCATTTATCTTCTCCTGCACATAAAACAGAGCAGAGAAGTTCTCCGTCTCCTCCTCCGGCCTGCCGCTCCTGTGACAAAGGTGCCCCTCCCCTATCCAGAGGGATGCTGCGGCCAGGGATGGGCTAGCTTGGCAAAGGCCCTTTGTCCTTAGGTCCCTCAGGCTGCTGGGCCAGCCAGCCCCAGCTTAATAACCAACGAGCACCAAACCGACCTCCACAGTTGTGTGTTAAAGGCCATCAAGTCACTTCTGACTCATGGAGACCCCGTGAATGAATGCCCTCCACAGTTAGGATCTCAACATTGGGTTCTTCTGGTTGGTGGGAGGAAATGCCGTCAAGCTGCAGCTGATTTCTGTAGGATTTTCAAGACAAGAGACGAACTGAGGCTGCGGTCACACGGAGCATTAGCTACGCTACTGAGACGGATGATAGGCGGATTTTCCGGGCGCGATCACACCGCAACATTTGGGAAGCGTAGAGCTCCCATGGCGAACCCGAGGCTTCCTGCCGAAGATGCGGAGTTAAAAACTAGTACCTCCGAGGTACTAGTTTCTGGAAACCGCGGGGCAAGGGCGGGCGCCTGATCACGTTTCCGGTGGTAGTCCGTGGCATCCGGCGCCCGCCCATGTCCCGTCGCAAACAGGTTTTTTTCCCCCAAGTCTCCACAGCGCATGCGCACAAAGAGGAAAGCACAAAGAGGAAAGCAAACGTTCCGTTGCTCCGCAGAATCGCATATGCCATTGGTGAGATCGCGCCACACTGCTTCTTTGCCATGCTGCAGGATCTTCGTGTGATCGCCACCTTGCCCCTACTCACGGGACCTGAACGGGACCTGTGATCGGGTGGCCGCACGTTATTTTGCTCCGGGCCAAACTGCCACGCTCCCCCCCTGCATTTTACGGCCCATGTGACCGGGACCTGAGGTGGTTTTCCATTGCCTGCCTCTGTGTAGCAGCCCTCCAGCCTCTTGGTGGTCTCCCATCCAAGTACTAACCGGGGCCGACCTTGCTTAGCTTCCAAGAGCCAATGAGACTGGGCTAGCCTAGGCCATCCAGGTCAGGGCCTCTTCTTGTTGGATGGATGAAGCACTACAACCTAATTTGTAAATCACAGATTATACCCAATTGGATTGCAAGAGACAGAAGTAAGCAAGCACTGAATGAAAGCTGCTGACTCCTGGCCTTGTTGAGTGAATTTAGCCAAGGGTATGACCTGGTGTGTGCTTTCTACAGAATTCCTTTTATTTCTGGCATTTGTCCTTTACAGTTCAGTGATAGCAAGCAGACACACAGTGTTCCACTGTTAGCAGCTGAAAGGAGGCTTTTGTTGCCGAGACTTATATCGATGTGTTGGATTTGGAAGTGGGTGTTGGTTAAGACAACTTAGAAGAACCTCAGTACGGTGTACTAATTGTCGATGTGATAAAATGTTCCTGCTGGGTTGTTGTTGTAGTTGCTGTTTTAAGCCTTTCTCAAAACAATGAAATGGTATCCAGTATAAAATAAATTAGTTGGTTTTATTCTCTCCTGTGGCCATTGCGCACTGCACTGAGTTCTACTTTCTGTTACGAGACTGGAATTCCAGTGAAGGATTACCAGCGTTCACCGAATGAAAGACAGAGGGAGAAAGAGAGAGGGAAAACCTGTGCAGATGTTTAAAAGCACATAATTCCATTTGTGCACAGTGGGTACAATCCTACTTACCCATCCCCATGTCTGAGGATTCAGCTGGTCATTTGCAGTAAGCTCTGTGCGAGGGCTGCCAGCTCCAGGTTGGGAAGTACCTGGAGACTTTGGGGGTGGAGCCTCTAACCACTGCCCACACTAAGCCTCAGCCACTGCCCAATGACATGCACTCCTAGGGATGCCAGCCTCCAGGTGGGACCTGGGGATCCCCCAGAATTGCAGCTCATCTCCAGACTTCAGAGCAGTTCCCCTGGAGAAAATGGATGTTTTGGAGGGTGGACTCTGTGGCATTGTACCCCACCGAGGTTCCTGCTCTCCCCAGGCTACATCCCCAAATCTCCAGGTGTTCCCCAACCTGGGGCTGGCAAATCTCTTTACTGCCCCCTGCTGGTGGCCAGGGGTGGGGGACCCGGACCCTACTGTATGCATAATGTTGGAAAGCTCACATGAGATCATTTCATCTAGTATGCCTATCCGTGAGAGGGAGAGAGAGGTGTTAATGTGAGAACAGGCAACAGTCGTTGATCTCTGCTGACCCAATTTTGGATGGGGAGAAGGAAGGATTGTGGCATGCAATGTTTGTATACAGCCTGCTCGTGTGACAACCTTGCAAGACTGTTGTCATTTCCCTTTTTAGTTCTGGCCCAGCAGTTCCTTTGGGACATTTTGAAGCGTTTGATTTTGTCTCCCAGGCAAAAGATCCCCAGTGATTCAATGGCGAACCTAAACAGCATGATAAAAAGTAGAGACATTACCCTGCCAACAAAAGTCCGCATGGTCATAGCAATGGTATTCCCAGTAGTCATGTATGGCTGTGAGAGTTGGACTATAAGGAAGGCCGAGCGCCGAAGAATAGATTCTTTTGAACTGTGGTCCTGGAGAAGACTCTTGAGAGTCCCTTGGACTGCAAGAAGATCAAATCACTCAATCCTAAAAGAAATCAACCCTGACTGTTCCCTGGAAGGCCAGATAATGAAACTGAAGCTCAAATACTTTGGCCACCAAATGAGAAGGGAGCACTCACTGGAGAAGACCCTGATGCTGGGAAAGATTGAAGGTCAAAGAAGACGGGGACGGCAAAGGATGAGATGGTTAGACAGTGTCACAGATGCAATGAACATGAAATTGAGCCAGCTTCAGAGTACGGCGGAAGACAGGAGGGCCTGGCGGGAGATGGTCCATGAGGTCGCGAAGAGTCGGACTCGACTGTGCGACTGAACAACAACAA